TGAAAAGATAATGGAACTTATGCATACAGCAAAGCAAATCATCCTTAAATCCACTCGGGCGTACAGCTATCAAAAATAAGAGTTATCCGAATGTGTTCGAAGTTCGTAGGCTCAGCAAACATTTGTCTTACAAGTGGGACTTGTTTGTCTGACCCTACTTCATACGAGTTGACATGTCCCGTTGTTGAGTATCGGAAACAAAGACCTCGATTATTTCGAATTTCACTGAAACTTTGCTAATTATATGATTTCAGTTACAAAGGAGGAAACTTGGTAATCAATGTAAAATTATGCGAATTTCTATATCAACGTGGTAACCTCGTTATTGCGGGTGATGTCCCCAAATTAAGGTGAAGAGGCCCAAATGGTTGAAGTGGGTGTATTATTAATAAACTTCGGTCTATAAATTTGGGAAATGTTATCACTTTACCGGTACACGCAAATTAGGGGAAAATTTCTGTGTGTTTAAAAATTTTTCTCGTGGTTTTCTCCGGCTGATCATTAGAATACGTAAACCTACATAGTACTTACCTCACATTAATACTTTAATGACTTCAATTATATCTTTACAATTGCTTTTTTAAGCGGATAAATATGTGAATGACATATCTCGCCCCCAGTGGCAGACTCTTACTAACTTAACACCACCTTGCTCTCCGAGCGAAACGCGCTCAGGCAACCCCTACTGGACTTTGGCCCTAGTGGTCCCCACCTACAGTATTCTGATGACCTGAATGGTATTTCATGATATTCTTAGGTATATCTATGCAGTACATGATTTTTTTAAATAATATTTATGCCATCACACATTCATATAATGGGAAAACCAATACAGAAACAGGGTGCAAAGGTATACTGCATATTCCTATTTGGAATCTCTTCCGATTAGGTCTACATATACCTACTACAGTCTTTGAATAGGAGAAATGTAAGCAACGCAAGAAACAATTATTGATCAAACGATAATTTTACTTAACATATCAATATCAAATACTCTTAGATGCGTCCACTTCTGTTTCAAGAATCCTTCTTGCGAATCTTAAAATTGTAACAACAGAACGCACATATTTTTAGACTACCGTTCAAAACCAAGGCCACGCCGGCCTTAAACTTCCTCGTACGAACTGAAAAATACCAGATCCCACGTGAAATTATTGCACGTACCGTTTATTTATATGATATTTACGATCAAAATATCTTCCATTCATATTTTAAACAAAAGGTTTGCTTTCAATATGTGTACGTATGTATAAGACTCGAGAATAATAATTAACTTGATCGTTAACAGAGTTCTATTTCGAAAATGTTTGCCAACTTAGTGAGTGATTCTAACAAAGATATCTTGCGTTCCTATAAGACTATATATTACATACAGATTAAATGTTTTCGTTGAAATAAATTTTACCTCTCATTGGACAAGTGGTTACAATTACCTACAACTAAATTATTGGTTGAAAATAGCTTTTCAAAATTAAGAAGAAAAGCCATTATATAATAAAAATTACAATAAACAAATGATTAAAACCATTTTCATTTTACACACAATAAAATAAATTTAAATTACAAGCCTAAATACTGAGTCCTAAATACTTTAGGGGCATTTATGGATATAGAAAAAATTATAAGACTAATTAATAGATACTAATGCTAATTGAGCTTCGCGATGTCCATCGTATCGTGTTTGCAAAAGTAGGTTTAGTATTGTTTATTTATTACCTCTGTCTACCCTCACAGGTTCTGAAGTGCGTAACGTAATATTATTATGCCATTAGGGCTGATTTTTCTATAGACAGATAAATATTATCTGAGGAACAAAATTGTTGCTGTCACTCTCTTATACAAACATTCTGACGCGACAGCATCATAATTATTCCCCAGATACCTAACCATTGAAAAACCAGCCCTTAGAATTTTAAAATGTCATATGCACTGCAATTTGACTTTTACCCCAATTCGTCCTGGCTAATAATGGCTCGAGTATACGATAGACCCCAGGTGCTCATAAATCCTTTTAACAACTTGCAATAATCCCCATTCATGATAACTGTCCCTTTCACGTCAAGGCAGCCACTTTTTTTATAATTTATTCGGTTCGTTTAAATTTTTGCGCCTCTTACACGAATGAATTTCGTATGATAATATGTTGGAAATGAAATGAAAACAACGGGTTACCCCGGATTTCAGGTAGGGGGTCTTGCTTATGGAAATGCTTGTAAAGGTTTATGGTGTTCTTTTATGGTGCTGGGGTAAGATTCGTTATTCATAACATGGTACGCTTTGGGGATTCCTTGTTTGCAGCTAACTGTTAAGTATCCAAATATGATAATAGTTTAATGGAATCTGTGCATTGTTTAACAACTAAATCTGAAATGAATTCAATTATTATCGCTTATCCAAAAATTATTCAGATGATCAAATCTTTTAAGGTTCGAAAGGCTGGTTCAAAATAAGAATGACTCTTATAATTTTTAGGTAAATACATTAAAAAGGTATTTGTAATCCGTCTTTCTTTTTTAGCTCAGATGCTTCGATTTTAACTCTAAAATTATAAACATTTAATTAAAAATTTTACTATAAATCATCAGGCAACTATTGCCGATTAGCTTGCGGGGTTTCGGAGCAAGTGCAGCAAAATACCGTAGTCTCAGCATGGCTCAGAAGAAGGAACGGCGCTTTTTATTTAGAATTAGTCACTCACTTTCGCCTTATTCTGCGCGACAGGAGATGTTTGAAGATTTTCTCCTCACAAAAAAGGCTACTAATCGGCATCCGCAAGTTTGTATGTAGAAGGTAATCTTTGGAACCACTAGTCGGATTTCCAAAATTCTTTCACTGATAGATAGCAATAATGCTCCTAAGTGCTATAGGCTATAAAACATCACGCTACGATGAAATGGAGCCGAGCAGCAGGTGAAACCGCGCAAGAGTAGCTAGTAAAATGTAAAATCCGTAAATAGAATTCGCCAGCAACCACGTTATCACCACAGATTTATAGCAGCAAGATGAGAAAGTTTCTGTCATCGTCAAAGGTGCTCAACATTTGGGGCACCCAGCGTTATTCATAGTCTTACTTTTTTGTTTATCTGCAAGATAAAGGACAAACGGGTAGTCGTACTGGCGTTGAATTATTTTGTTTTTATTTTACTAAAGAGCAGGAGAGTGCCCTGAATTTTTATAAGCAGCAGCTTTATGGAGTAAAATTATGTACACGTTTTTTGCACTCGTTACAAAATAAAAATACATTTTAAGATATACAACGATTTTAAGAGTGGGAGAGCCAAGCTTTGGCACGATTGGCCTGAAACAATCACAGCTTTGTGTTTCGCCGTCCGAGTGAGGTTACCGGAGGCCCAATTCCTCATCATCTCCCCATCTCTCCTTAATTCTTAAATATTCGAAACCCTTATCCCCAAAAGGTTGGTAATGCACTCGTAACTTCTTTGGTATTACGGGTGTCTATGGGCGGCGCTGAGCGCCAAGCCATACGTTTGAGCCGTATCACATGAAAAAATTATAAATTATCTGCTATTATAATTTCTTTATCTGCCGTTAACTTAATCAAACATACTTATTTTTTTAGAACAAATACTCGAAGGTGGATATGTAATTGAGTTTTTAAATAATTCTCAGTACCTATTTCATGTCTACAAGCACTAAACATTTCTATATTAACATAATGACCAATCAAGGCGATTATTTCGCAAATAAATGTCAGAGCTACATTATTATTTATTTTGCGACAATTTGTACGAAATGTTTTTCTACAGTAATTTTGGTATAAGGCACGCATAAGATATATAAGGTTAGTTAGTCTTAATGTGTACTTAGGTACATTACCTGACGCAGATTTCCATATTTTACTAGGTAGCTTACTCTGCGATCATAATTTTCAAACATATGTACATAATAAAAGCTCTTTTACTAAAGTTCTTCGCTTGAAATTAATCTTCAAATGTGGATAATGTACTTTTAAATGCTTGTAATTTTTTGTCTTCAAAGATCTGGCTTTATTTATGTAATTTTATGAAACAAAAAACCAAATACAAGCGGCCCCGCGTTCGATTTGATCCCATCACTGATTCAAATATAATAAAATGATACATGACAATAGAGTTAGCAATTACTATAAGCTATATTCAGTCCAAATCTTAGTGTATACAAGAATATTTAATCGGGATAGTCGATTATCGACAGTACTCAACCAGCAAAATACAATTTAAGTTTTCTTAGTGTTCCGGAATTTTGGGTGTAGCGTAATAATTAACCGCGGCTTGGCTGCAAGCAAGAGAAGGAATTGTTTGGTATTTAGTCAGTAAGAGTATGCTACTTCTTCTACCCCACCAAAATAAAAAAATAAACATTTGAAATGTTGACCGCAGTCACAGTTACTTTGGCAGAATAAAAACCAACGAGTATTCACAGATAAATTCTTATGGGACATCGCCAAGATCACAAGAACTCCAAAGTCATTAATGCTTTTAAAAATTAATTGCAATTTGTTGACACTTCCCACTTTCCAAGTCTACGCTAATAAAATGTGACGTCACAACTCGCTAGTCACGTATTCGTGTTTGTTATTTTATTTTTACATTCTCATAGTATATCGTCTGGCTAATAATTATAATATTATTAAAAGAAATGCTTCATTAAATATCAGGAAATGACAAAATGAATGATGTTTGTAAAATACTTGAGACTGGAAAATTTGTGTACACTAAAAGTTTCAGTGATGTAATAAAAATATACTTGCGTATTTTTGTATTAAGCAAAATAACACGGAAATGTTGTATTTTTAGTTTTTATGTTTATTCATATGGATTATTAAATATGAAATAATAATTGAACATTGTGTTGATAACATCTAATGATTGATATGATTATTAACAAAAAAAGTAGCACAGTTTATAGCGGTAGCTTTACTTCTATAGTAAATTAATATATTTATAGACATAGATGGCATTGAAAGAATTTGTATAATTACCTAATCTAAAATAACTTACTTTTCGTTGTAGTTCAATTTATGAGAACCAACTGCTCATATCGACGAACAGTTTTATGCCTGCAACAAAGAGAAAAACATTTGATAAACCTTGCATATCATAGAATAATTGTATTGGAAAAGTAGGCAAATATATGATCAGCCAAGTTCAGCCAGTAAAAGTGAAACCACGGTCTCACAGAAAACAGGCCTGACCCAATTTAATCCCTCCCCAATCCCTAAATTTCTGAAACTCCAAAAACTCCAAAAATCCAGAACTGCACTCGTTATTCCTCTGGTGTTGCGGTTGTCCATTGGCGGCACTGATTGCTTACCATCACATAACAAACTCTTTGGTATACAGACGAAAAAAAAACTGATTAGTTCAGTAATATTAAAATAAAATAAATAATTGTTAATGTGTTAATGAATATCATGTACCGTCATTTGGGTCAATAGAAGGCCCTTGGTTACAAATTATTTATACCTACGATATAGCTACGTCTACATATCAAAATTAAATACACAATGTTTTCTTTCCACGAAAACTGAAATCGACATTTCAATAACAAAACTACATCATTATTCAAACTAACCCGGAACCAACCTACCTACAACACAATACGGGAACTACGGGACCCGACTGCAAACTACTCCTTACTGTCATGAGGCATTAAAAGCTGAATCGTCATGATAAATGGAAAATCAAGCGGTCTCCGTGTACCGGCCCCCAAATGTTCGTATTATGCGAAGTGGGGGAAGGTGTAAAGCGTCAAGGAGTATACTCCTCCTTAAGTGCTAATGTGGGAATGTCCTTGACAGATGACAGTTGGTCTCATGGCAAGGAATTAAGGTTGATTTTGGAATAAGGTTTGGAATATTGAGTACTGTTCAGGGTAAATTAAAAGACGTTTTGGCCCTTATTAAATGTTTTTCGACTTATAAATAGGTAAATTGTTGTTTCGGCTCTAAGTGTGGATGTGTATGTGTCTTTGTATGTTAATAAACACACTTATGAAATAGTAATAGAAATAAAAGAGTAAGTCAAATTATTTATTGTTTAAAAGAATCTACGTGATAAATGGTTTTTATTTTGAATTTGAAACATCTTTTTAGAAACACAATTTCAAATTAATGCAATCATTGAATTATATGTATATCTAATATGCCCTTTCTTTGAGAAAACACAACAATATGAGACGTTAGGCTTATTATGTAAATTTTTATATTAATATTTCTGTCACAATTCCATTTCCATCCAGCTTATTTTACCCAGCTACTAAAATTACCCGCCTAACCACCAATAACATAATTACGAAGTTTGCTCTCAAAAGAAAATTGTTAGGAGCTCGAAAAAACGTTTTTCAACTGTTTTCCTGAACAATGCCAGGGACAGTTCAATCAATTCGTTTTATATTCAAATTTGCTCATAAAAAGGTATTAAAATAAGGTCTATTTTTAGCTAACTTGTGGAGAGTCGCTGATTAATGTGTCTAATCTGAATTATAGGAATGAAATTAATAAAACTGCCGCATTAGGCATCACTCCAGGCGTCAATGATCGAGAAATGATCTTCGGCCACCGGAAGGGTGGGTCTCCGAACGGCGAGTAAGGTTTGGTCGCCGCCCTACCAGAAAAAGACCCGAGCATACAACCCGTTCCGCGCGCACATCAAAGAGCTATTAGACCAGCTCAGACGGGGCTCTATAGGGCTGATGTTTAGCCAGGATTGCGGGGTTAGCGCAATGAGGCATATGGCCCGGCCTTGGCATAGAGCAGGAGGTGGGACGTGAAGGTTTTTTAGTCAGTATAAGTCTGACAATCTCTGACAAAATAAATAAAAGATTGATGAGGATGTGAAAACTTTAAACGAAATACTGTTACATAACTGTACCCCTTCACGCTTCTATCACCTGTGATGGGATTGTAGACTGTACTTCATACGTAGAGCCAATTTCTACCATAATACGTTTATATGCAGCTAGGCTATACCACAATAAAAATATGCTCTACTCTTTTCCATCTCACCTAAAGTTGTTACAAAACAAATAAAATACATCAGTCTTCTTCAATTATTTTATATATTTAAGTATTGCAAAATGTCATAAATCATCACGGATGTCAAACAATGTTCTACACGTTCACTGAATAAATATCGCAAAAAACAAAAACGTATCTACTACCTATCACCTACGTCAGATGTCTAAAATTATCTAATGGAAGTTTCGTTATTATTAAATTAAATTATTTTTTAAATTAAATTTATTGGTTTAACAAACCAATAAATTGCCTAAGTACGAATTGGACTCACGCACGAAGCAAAATCGTAGTAGCGAAATCACCTTAGTTCAAACAATGAATTAATTTTTGCGAATAGGCCATAAAACGGCACTTTTGCTCGTCAAAATTATAAAAAAATCTAGATGGAACCGATATTTCCTATCTGATTACTCTGAGAAGAAATAACGAAAAAAATTTAAAGGTCCCACGTGTTGTAACTAAACCTTTCTTAAATACTCATTTTATTTTGTTTTAAGTGTGAAACAGTGAAACCGGGAATATATATTTGCAAGTAAGCCATAAAGCAAAACTACTACTATTCAAAATCATGTATAATAACAAAAACTAGATGAAGCCACTAAACTATATAATGTGTGGCTATGTGTCGTTAAATCGGCAACAAAAATACCCACATCATCTGTCTAAATTTCAACTGTTTTGCTATCGATTCATAAGCCTGGTGACAGAATGACGGACAGGGGAGTGTTAGTAATAGCAGTGTTTTCATTTTTAGTGCTACTGCGTAACTGTTAACAGAAGTTTCCTGCCGGAGTTACGAGCTCAAGCTCAATGATGCCCTCTCGTACCCGGCCTTGGTTGAGAAAATGGCGCGAAGCGAGATGAACTGGAAAGCCATGTCCTCTTTCTGTGAAGCAGATATGCTTGCAAAGAAGAAGATGGACTGCGTCAGGGAGCTATCTTCCTCCTCACGTTTTAGCCACTGCAGTATGCGACACTCCGGGCGTCGGGGATTGAGAGTCACAGTTATTATTTTTAGAATTGCAGGATAGACCTGTTGACAGGCAATACATTTACTACTTTAGATGCCTGGTACATATCAATAGAATATTAAAAAGTACATAAGTTCCAAGGAAATAATATTGAAATTAACAATTTAACACTCCTCTTATTGCGTCGGGAGTTCAAAATAGTAATATACATGTGAGTATTACACTTCAAAGACTTTATTTTATGTATACCAATTGCCAACTTATCAAAAGGCAACTGTTGTACTCATCATTCACAGGTCATAAGGTCATAACAAAAGCCAAAATTAAATGGCGTTTGTTTGTACAAATTCATGTTTAGTTTTTTAACCATCTCATGTCGGATGATGATACAGTCAATTAAAGTGATGATGACGATTAGGTTAAATTAAGGAGATTGACCTGGATGACGGAATCCAGTTCAAATGATCTGTTTTATCAAGGCCAATTAGTAATGTTAGCTATCTTTTCTCATCAATTACTTACGTACTAAGAAATCTGTTTTTCTTATGTACTTTAGCTTTAGATCCAGTTTTATCGCATTGAATCATATCATTTGTACTTGATCCTTTATTGGCTGAAGAGTGTGATTGGACAGCCGAAAAATGTTTCAATTAATTTGTTTAACTAATATAGTTTTTGAAAACAATGTTATTGTTTTGTTTTATACATCCCGCTAGATATTTTTTTATAAATTCTATCATGCCATTACACAGAAAAAAATCACACTCACTGATGACAAAATTCATAACGCGTATTTAGTATTAATCAACTATATACTCGTAAATATCACCTGGATATAGCGCTGTACACGTTTAAACCGAACAATGTCGTTCGGGGACTGTAGTCACCATGGACGCTTAACGCAAGAGTTTTTTTGGTGACTGTACTCACCTAGGACGCTTGAGTGGCTAGACAAAATAATTACACTTCAGACACAATATGACAAGGCAAACATCATGCATTATTACATATATAACATAACGCGTGAAGACAGACTATCTGATGGTAAGCAATCAACGCCGCCCATGGACACCCGAAACACCAGACAGAAGTTTCTAGTGCGTTGCCAGTATTTTAGGGATTGGAGTGTCAGAGATTTAAGATTTTGGGGAGGGGAAGAATTGGACCTTCGGTAACTCCACTCACACGGCGAAATACAACGTTGTAGTTGTTTTACGCCGATTTTCTGTAAGGCCTTCACTCCAGTCGAGCCAACCCATCGTGCCGAAACATTGCCTTCCCACACTTAGCTATACTATAATATTATAAAACTGAAGAGTTTGTTTGTTTGAACGCGTTAATCTTCGGAACTACTAGTAATTTTAGTGTTTGGTAGTCCATTTATCGAGAAAAGCTATAGGCTATTAAACATCACGCTAGGATCTGTGGCAGCGGGTGAAAGCGCGTAAGAGTAGCTAGTTAATACTATAATGTAAACTTATTTAGCTTAACCTAGTAAATTCTACACAACACTGCAGTCACGATCAAATCCAAACACTTTAATATACACTGTTAGAGCCAGGTGCTCATAATTCTCTCAGTTCTCAGCGCTCTCCCTTTGAAATATATTATTAACTCGGGTTATGTGATCGATGACCGATTCCTACTTACTTGGGTTTAATTCAACTCCATTATTGAAGCCATAACTCATGTTCTAGGTGTTGAGCAATGGCCTTGTTTAGTTTTGTAAAGAATTGAAAGCTAGAATAGTTTTTTTTTTTGTAAAAAAACTATTTTGTATGCATACATTTGTCATAACCTTGATTAAACTTTTGTTTGGATACAGAATCGGAATTCCATTACGTTGCTGGTCGCTTTGCCTATAATATAGCGTCAATATGATATACGAAGAAGTACTACATAAAGGTTTGTTTGTTATATCTAGTGCTTTAATAGACAAACACGTGTTTAGCTATATAATTAAAATTCTAAAAATAAAAGATATTACAAAAATATTATCTTGTTTCCATCAGCCATTTACCTCTTTCCCATCCCTATTATACCTTCTTGTTTTT